AGGCACATATGCTGAGTAATTGTCTCTCTAAGTTTTGGATATGGAGCTCCGTTGCAGATGTTTGAAGCTCCGGCAAAGCTAACATGAAACTATTTGAAGTGTAAGTAAAGGTAAACATTAAGCAGGATATAATGTCTCTAAATCAGTTTGTTCCATATGCAAATAAGTTATTTCAAGAATTTTGTTGTTGGATCAGATAGAGGTTTGATCTCCAAGATATATAAAGAACTCACTCGACTCCACTCCAAGAAGACAAACGATCCAATCAAAAAATGGGCAAAGGACCTGGGCAGACGCTTTTCCAAGGAGGAGATACAGAGGGCCCAGAGGCATTTGAAAGGATGCTTGGTATCAGTAGCCATCAGAGAAATGCAGATCAAAACCACCATGAGGTACCACCTCACACCGGTCAGAATGGCCATCCTAAACAGATCCACAAACAACAGGTGCTGGCGAGGCTGTGGAGAAAAGGCAACACTAGTACACTGTTGGTGGGAATGCAGACTGGTGCAGCCACTGTGGAAAGCAGTGTGGAATTTCCTCAAAAAGCTGAAAACGGAACTGCCTTTTGATCCAGTGATTCCCCTGCTGGGACTATACCCTAAGAACACCAAAACGCCATATACAAAAGAACCTATGCACCCCAATGTTCATAGCAGCACAATTTACAATAGCCAAGTGTTGGAAGCAACCTAAAGGCCCATCAGTAGATGATTGGATCAAAAAGTTGTGGTACATTTACACAATGGAATACTACGCAGCAGAAAGAAAAAAAGAATTACTAAACTTCTCGACAGCATGGATGGAACTGGAGAGCATTATGCTAAGCGAAATAAGCCAGGAGGCGAAAGACAAATACCATATGATCTCACCTATAAGTGGAACCTAACCAACAATACAAAGATGCAAAGAAAATAAGACCAGCAACACTGAAAGGAAAAAAAAATCAACAGAGACAAGACAGAAGGAGGGAGGAGGGGCGGGGGAAAGGAAGGGAAGGGGAAAGTCAAGAAACATATAGCAAGGACTCATGGACAAAACCAAAGGGGAAGAGCTGAGGGAGGGAAAGAGGGAGGGGGCAAGGGAAAGTGGTGGGGGGGAGGCAGAGACAAATGTATTTGAAAAAATAAATTTAAATTAAATTTTAAAAAAAAGACGTGAGAATAGTAAACATGGGGTAGAAGAGGGTGCTGACTGTGAGGGGGCGAGGGTGCTGCTTGCATTCTCTTTTCTCAACTGGGTTTTTAGTTAAATAAACATGTTCACTGTGAAAAATATTTTAAAAAAAAGAATTTTGTTGTTTGGATTAAAAATTAAATAAATTTCAGTGTATAAAGGAGGAGATTCTGGCCACTGAGTGAAGCTTAAGTTCCTTTTGCTTCTTATACAATAGCATTTTGTGTAGAATGGGTACTCTGGCCTTAAACCTGGTGTTCTCATGAGCAACTCTGAGGATACTCCACAAAATACCTCTGAGAGACATGAAGGAGACAGCAAGGCCTCCTGCAGCCTCATTCCAGAACAGTACTTTTGTCAGAGAGGAGCAAATTCGCCCCAGGATGTTCTTTTCCTAAGCCCCACACCCAAGCTCTCAAAGATGGGGTACTCCCCTTCCAGAAGCCTCTGTTTCTTCATCAATGATATAATCGAATCGGACCATATGATTTCTAAGACTCCTTGTTTCTCTAATACTCTGTGATTCTAAACAAAGATCAAAGTCACCAGAGTCTGAATTGAGGCCACTGGGATGTCTCCAGGTCTTAGTTTTTCACATCCCAACCACAACTGTTGTGAAGTCCCAGAATAGGACCCTTTTATTTGTACCCAAAAAGCTCCTCGTCCGTTTAGTGGCTTGCCGTGCAACCTCCACATAGCAGTGCATGAGAAAATAAGTGTGAGCTCAATTCAAACAGCGGAACTGGAAAACATGTTGCCACAGTCATCCCCAAGGAATAGAATACAAACTTTCATCATAGTTTACAAGCCTGGAGTACTCTATTTTTCTACAGTTGGGAAAAATTGATGGCTTTAGTGTCTGAAGAAAATAAAAATTAGGAGATTTGTTAGCAAACATTAACAGAAATCTACTGAAAACCATCACCATTAAAAAATGCAAGAAAATGCAAAGGTCTTAGTCAACACCAACACCATACAGCTCACAGCCTCATTACACAAAACAAATGTACAACTGTGACCAAATTTTGTGGACAATGAGAATGATTTTATAAATAATGTATACCCAGTTCATTTCAATAGACATATGTTCAAAATTAATAATTTAGAATAGAACATAGTTCTTTGTCTCAATACCAATAGTAAATATATAATGAATGTGCAATGCAAAGAAAATCCAATTAGTTCATCCTGCTCATTATGAAAACCATACTCAAGAGCACAATAAAACTTTGTAGAAGGATAAAGTCTTTGAAATTCTAACAGGCATTTAAGGGAGAAGTTAAATATTAGCAGGAAATATCTGCATGCAAATTAAATCTCAGCAGCTCAAGACCATCTACACTTTAGAAAAAGTGTATCACTAGTCATGCTAAGCATTCAACAAGAGTAATAGTCAACTTTTTGTGACTTTTACTCAGAGACTTTTACTTAGATTTTCAGTCACTGTATGCAGCAAGGGGAGTAAGGCAGGCATTAGAAGTAGCCAGATATCTATGGGTATCACTAGTTTGAGGAAGGTGTGAGCCTTCTGATGTGGGTGGTCTTCTTCCTGGTCTGTGACATGTAGGGAGAAAAACTAAAAATGGAGATCAGGCATAACTGAGATTGCAGGCTTCTTGCTTCTGTAATAAACAGGACTACGGCCTCTTTTTTTTTTTTTTACCATGGGCATCATACTAGTCCCAAGCTAAGCAAGATCTGGGCTCTCTTTGCCCAGAATTCAGAGGGACCTGAGTTAGGAGAAAAACAGTCCTCCCTTGCTAGACTCTTAGGATGTGGGGTGGGGGGATGGTTATATTGGAAAACACAACTGAGGAAGAGGGGAGAAATTGGTGATTTCATGTAAGAAAACCCAGCAATGTTTGCATCATGTTAATGAAAATCATGGCAATAGAGCCTACCTGGCATGTACAGCCAGTGAAATCTTTTGCAAACATCAACAGTATAACACCTAGATGTGTGGGGGAATTGCAATACTATACTGCATAAAGAAAGCAACCACACCATAACAATAAAGTAAAATATATATTTGTAGATGGCAGATGGAAAGACACATAGGAAACCAAAAATAGTTTCATTTGTTGGAACAGGATTACAGGAGAATGTTTTCTTTTGATTACGTTAATGCTGCCAAAACATTCTTACAATCATATTTTTAAGTCTTGCTGAAACATTTGTCAAAATGAGTAGATTTTATAAGGTTTCATTTTTCTCTGCTTTAATTAGTTGAAGTGAGGCTTTCATTACTTCCCTTTTAGGGTTGAGGACCAATGTATCCTTAATGTTGCTAGTTACTGAAGAGTCAAACTATATTTCTTACACAGAAAGAAATCTCAAAGCCAAATTTTCAAAGTAATGTGGATCCAGCCTAAGGAAGTTTTATTTTGAAATTTTACCATTAGGATTTGATTCACATCAAGAGAAAAACTACACTTCATATGGGCACTTATTCTAGTAACGTCACTGAGGGCAGCCCCGAAGTCAAGGAAGTTTATACGGTGTGATCAGAACATGCCAGAAAAGTCCTTGGGGCTTCACTGAACATTCTTATACCAGATAAATAAGATTAAAATGAGTATCTAGGACAGCCTTGAAATAGAACATAAACATTTCGAAGTGAGCAGACTGCATTCAGAGAAGAATAGAGGCAACATTGACGTGTGGCTCAGGACAGGGAGTGGGGCCGTAGGAGCACAGTCCCGTCCGTGTCTTGGTAACTGCAGGGTGAAGAGCGCCTCATCTCTCGATAGCCTAAGGTCTTAACACAGGGGAGCGGGAGGAACAGGGATGGGCCGCGTCGGTGGGGGGCCCCTGCGGAAGCAGCCAGCCCAACCCCCACTCAGGTGTCCTGAGCGATGCTGTCAGCACGGCTTTCTGAGAGGGCCGGCCCGGGCTGGGGGACTCCGCACACCAAGGATGGCATTGCGAGGGGACGCCGCAGAACTGGTTTGTAAAGGACATTTACTGACACGTGAAAGTTGGCACATTGTTGATTTATTCCTTTACAATTAGTGACGTTTGCTCTATTTTAAAATTTAACTCCAATATTTATTTGCCAACTGCCGCTTCAGAGGGGAAGTGTCTGCTTTGCCAGACACAGACAAGGGTTCAGATCAGGGTTAGAGACACAGCCACAGGCTGTGTGAGAAACAGATGGGACGAGAGCCCCAGCCTCACAGACAGCTCACTCACCCCATCTGCTCGCCATCTTTCTTCGTGCAGCTAGCAGAGCTCACGCTGACGGAGGCAGCGGACACATGCAGCCAGTCATCTCCAGAGCCTCTCCAAGGCCAAGGGACTTTGAGGATCTCAGTATATATAGAAATGAAGAGATTTGACTTTGGGTGGTGAACACACATGCAACATACAGGTGATGGATAATAGAATTATACACCTGAAACCTATATAGTTGTATTAACTAATGTCACCCCAATCAATTTAATTTTACAGTGAAACAAAGAAATGTCTAAACTGGGTTACAAAGATTTGGTACATTTTTAACATTTACATTTAACAAATTTCTGCTCTTAAAACACACCAAAAATAAAACCATTTTAAAAACGGTAATTACAGATTTATGAGGCTGTTGCCCTGGTGCACTATGGATGGTGTGGTCCAGACAATGGGACACAAGTTCAGAGTGGCCTGACGTTGTGTCTTCTTCCAGTCTTCTCAGTATAACTCCAGATACAACACCCTGGAGTTATATGTTTGCACCTGAGACCCTTCATGACACCACCCCCTTGGTCCCTCATCAAGGATACTGCTTATCTCTCCAAGTGTCCTTAATTAGAAATCTTTCCTTAACCATAAGCCTATCACACCACCTGCTCCAACTTATCAGGATATTATAAAGGAAGCAAAGAGACAATTTGCAAGGAATCGAAAGGATTTCAGAATGTAAGTTGATGCCATATTATTGCTAAATATAAAATCATAGACTCTTTTAGAGCTAGAAATGATCTTAGAAATCATCTATACTCTGCTCCTTATTTTACTGATGAGGAGCATCGCCTCTGAGCATCTTATAACTCAGAGATTCTTTGTATTCAAGGGCCAAGGATGTACACGGTAACTATGGTGCTATAGGTAGTGTCAGGGATTGAAGGAAGGAGACAGCTTTACTGCGGTGCGATTGGAGGGGAATGCACCCCAACACGGGGAGACTGAGAGAGAGCTCCAGCGACTAGAGGCTGGCTTATTGTCCATTTACAAAGATAAATGGGAGAAGAGCAGAAACATCATCTTCCGTAGAAGGAGGGCCCTGGAGCTGGAGTGCCAGCTGGGGTTGTACTGAGGAAAGCAAAGCAGGCAGGTCTTTTCTGAAGTGTTTTCTTGGGGAATAGTTTCAGGTTTTTATACTTATTTAAAAGTATTACTCATGGCCAGTCATGGTCTTCTTATGTGCCAAGAAGCTAGAAATGGCTTAACGAGAGGCTGTCCATCAATTTTTATAAGAACAATTTGGCAGGATACCATGATATCAAGGTCATTGCCTAGAGGTTCTAGTGCCTTAAATGGGAGAAAGGATAGGCACCCGGTGCTGTTTAGGAAACACACCAAAGTGAGGTCATTGGAAGAGCGGCCAGCCAGGTCCTATTTGACAGACAGAACAGAAGTCCAAGCTTCTGCTCCCCACGGAACACCATTCCCCTCCCACCCACACACACACAGAGGGAGCCCTTAGATTGCCTGTGCTCAGTGGGAGGAACAGGGATTGCCGTGTCGGAGGGCCCCTGCGGAAGCAGCCAGCCCAGCCCCCACTCAGGTGTCCTGAGCGATGCTGTCAGCACGGCTTTCTGAGAGGGCCGGCCCCGCTAAGGGACCCCGCACACCAAGGATGGCATTGCGAGGGGACGCCGCAGAACTGGTTTGTAAAGGACATTTACTGACACGTGAAAGTTGGCACATTGTTGATTTATTCCTTTACAATTAGTGACGTTTGCTCTATTTTAAAATTTAACTCCAATATTTGACCTTACAGGGAAAAGCACAGAATTGATGAAGAAATAAAACTCCTAAGACGGCGGCAGGAAAGAATTGACAAGGAACTTGATAGGTTTGTTTCTTATTCAACTGTGTAGTGCTCGAAAATATTTCAATTGAACAAATGTGTTACATATAACCACAATGATTTTATTATGTAAAAATACACCACTCAAACATCTACAAAGAGGTTTTCTACTCAACAGTTCATCTGCAGTAACACTTTAACTTTTTTTGTCCACATAATCACCCACTCTGCTAATTTAATTACTTGCTGAACATTATCATCATCTCCTTTTACTCCACCAAACAGGCCTTGAGCTCAAGCCTTTTAAAACAAGCCCATAACACCATGCCGTGCTCAAAGGGAAGACGTAAACTTGAAAAAGAACCTATTTAGCTGGTCTGTCTCAAGCTAGTTCTTTGTCCCCCTTTTGCCCCTGTCCCTTCCCCTATCCATACAAACATTGTCCCCCATTGAAACAAGGAAAATTGGGCTCACTTAACCTACTTATTTCTTAAATTAGAGGATAAAAAGGAAAACTATAAAGTATTGAAACCAACCTACTTTTTCCAACACACACACATACAAGAATGAGTATCAGATGAGCACAACCCTTCAAACAAGCCCCGTGGGGGTCCTGCCGTCATACATCACGTTACTGGGACTTGGAAAGCTAGTCTTCCAGTCACATGAGAAAATCCAGCCCATTACTTGAGAATCTTATCTCACTTTTCACCAAAAGTCTTACCAGACAGCTTTCCCCTTTGCAATACCTCAGCTCTAAGATCTGATTCCAGGTGACTTTTACAAGTTCCCAAAAATCCAAACTATGTTTAGTGCAAACTATGTTGCACTAAAGATACAAGGAAGAATGTAGAATGCTTTTGCAAGCAACATTCAAGAGCATAACACTCAAATGCATTTTATGCAACCATGTGTTGGAGAAAGTGAAGGGAAAAATGCTCATTTGGATATAGTATAAATTCCATGTGCCTGTTAAACTTACAGACATAGCATGGAAGTTTCTATCCATAATCTTTGAAAATGGGAGAGTCATAGAGAGAAAGGCAATCAGAAAGACGGATCAGAGAATGGTGACGGCTGCAAAAGTGAACAGACAGTTGACCCTTGAACAATGCTGACCCCGCACAGTCAAAAATCCACATACAGCTTTTGACTCCCCAAAACATACACAGCATACACAGGGGATTTGGCTCCAACCCCTGCAGATACCCAGATCCACAGATGTTCAAGTCCCTCATATAAAATGGCATAGATCAATGCATGCAGTCAGCCTTCCGCATCCACATCAAAAACAGTACAGGTATTTATTTTTAAAAAAAAATCCACGTATAAGCAGACCTGCACAGTTCAAATCAGTGTTGTTCCATGCTCAATTGTACCGAAAACCACTGGATGGTATACTTTAAAGGGGTGAAATTTATGGTATGTGGTATATCTCAATAAAGTTGGGGTTTTTTTGTGTTTTTTTTTTAAAGAAAGAGGGAGCTGTAAAGTAAAAGCGTGAGTTGGAAGATGGGTTGATGCTAATTTAACTGAGATGAGCCAGTCTCAGAGTGACTTGCAAGTCACAGAGATTCGAAGGGAGTGCACTGAAAAGGGCACAAGGGATATTTGAAGTGCGTGTGAATGAGACTTCGGAGGAAGAGACCCGAGCTGCAAGCGCACACTTGAGAAATGCAGGGAAGGACAGATCTAGAGGGTTATAAGAAGTGAGGGGGCAACACAGGTTAAGATAAAATTGGCAGAGGTGAAGTAGAGACTAGTGAGGGGACATTTATGAGGCACAGAGCACGAAAGCCAGAGACCCCTATGAGGTAGGCCGACTGTGCCCTCAGGGGCGCCCTAGACGAAATGCTAAAGCAACAGAGTAGGCCTTGCGGGGGAGGGGGTGGCAATCCAAACTGCATGCCTCAGCAAAATATATTTGGAATTCTCAGAAAATTTTACCTCCTACAAATTTCCTGGAGGAAAAATAATTTTAAAATGCTTCACTTGAAAATTGCCAGTGAAATTAATGGCCTTATGCCCTTTTTCAGTTTTATTTCTCTCATCTGTTTCTCTTGCTAACATTTCTTGCTTGCCTGGGCTACCTCTTCTGCTTTCCGCATTCAAGGGTCTCTCTCTGGAAAGGGTCCTGTTGCCTCCTGAATTCATCTATTAATCTCCTTCATAAATATCTTGAATGAGTACTTGGGGACCGAGGTCATGAGAGACTCCTGGATTCCCACTCTCTGAGACCTTAGTCTAGTCAGCGTCCTCGCCGTCTGGCCTGTTCCATCTCTCTCTCTCTCTCTCCTTGTGCCCCAGACCTTTCTCTTGCTAGTCCCTGTGACTCTTCTCTCCCCACTGACACTCCTCACAGTCTGTGCCGGAACCTGTCGAGTGGAATCAGTTTAAGGGGGCACTTTCTGGGCCACCTCTCTGAAGAGGGTGCTCACGGCTGGAACGCAGTGTCACATTGTGGTTGGAAGTGAGGGCTCAAGTCACACTGCTTGGAGTTAAATCCCATGTGACTTGTTATCTGTATGGCTGTGGGCAGGTCACTTAACCTACTGGAGCCTGTTTCCTCATTTGTGACACAGGATAATAACAGTACCTACTTCACAAGATTGTTGTAAGTGTAATTGAATTAATATTTGTAAAGTGCTGGCAAGTGGCCAGTGTATTAAACTATTTGTAAATGTTGGCTCTTAGTTGGTATTAGTATAAAAACTAGTTTGGCTAATGATTTTCTTTATTCCATGATTAGACTCCAAGTAAAGGCTACCAAGAAGCCTTACGAAGTTGCAGTTGACTTCGAGAAGTTCCTACATATGCTGGTATGTTTTGTGGTTTTTTTAAATATAATTTTTAAGAGAATTTTTTCCCTAGCTTCTCTTATATAGACTGGATAATATTTAATAAACACTATAGGGTTTCACATCCAAGTTATAGTGGCAGGACGGAAAACATTCTCATTACTTAATCATCCATATGCACATTTAACATAATCTGTTTTACATACTCAGGACAACCTCATGCCCACTATCCCCATCCCTTGCTTCTGACCAAGGACAATTTATGCAACTCAAAACCTGCAAATGCAGACAGACTTTCAAATTAACAGAAAAGTAGTGGTGTTCAAAGTCATGTTTATTTTTTCCACTGATAATTCCACAAAAATATATTGGATTCCAACCACTGTGTCAGGTGAATGATCCCTGCCCTCGATTAACAGAAACATGACAGAAAAGATAAGGTTCTGAACAGGGCTCAGGGGAGAGACAGAAAGGAAAGGAAGGAGGCTGCTCCATCTCTCGAGTTTTCAGTGTCCTCTGCTCTTCTGCTTATGGGCAGCCCTTTTCAAGCTGAAGCAGGCACGAACATGTAGAGATTAGTGTATGAGGGGGGACCCCAAAAAATGGAAATATCTTCTGGAGAGCAGGCCCCTTGTAGTACAGGCTCCCCCTGCTGGGTGAGTGTTCTAGGAACCCATCTGCATCAGTGAACCAACTGGCATTGTTGTGAGAGGCTGCATTCAGCTTCAGTGAGTTTTTTTTAAAACTCTTGCAACAAGTTTGCTCATTTCATGATGGGTGACTTACGAGTGCACCTGCCCACACCACACTGAGTGTTCAGCAGTTTTTGACCAAAAACAGCCTGACCCCCATACCCCACCCTCCCTATTCACCCAATCCCGCCCAAAGTGACTTTTTTGGCTTTTGTTTCCCTGGATGAAAAATGTCTTTAAAGGGAAACGTTTTGCTGATGTGGAAGAGGTGAAAGTAAAAATGGCAGAAGCACTAAAAGGCATCAGAATCGATGAGTTCAAAACCTGTTTTGAACAGTGGAAAATACATCTCAGTTGGTGTATTGCATCAAATGGAGGGTACTTTGAAGGTGATTGAAGTTTAAACATTGAAGAACAAATACAGTTTTTAATAAAGAAATTCCGGGTTTTGGATCCCCCCTCATACAGTAAATCTGAAGGTTAGGCAATCCGATGTCAGGTATAGGAGAGAGCCTTCTATTTTCAGCATGTCAGGCTTCCACTCAAAAATCTAGAGCAATCCTCATTGGCTATTGGTGTAATGTCAAAAACAGGCGTCAAATAATCTAATGAAATTCCTACATCAGCCACTTTAAAGTTGTGAAAGAAAGGAGTAAAATACCTGGGTGCTTAATATTAAACAAATAGGACTACTCTTACTTCCACAGACACAAATTAATTCTCCCATTTTTCTTGGTATCTCTTAACTACTATAGAGACATGAGGACAGAGAAATATTTACTTAGCATAAGAGAACAAACAAGCGTGCAGGTATGCTGGTAAAGGGCAAGCTGACCTCAGCTAGTAAATGATCAACAGCCTGAGTATCGGGGAGACTACAAGGAGTTGTGAAAATTGTAGTGTCCTGGAGAGCATCCGCTCCATTAAGCCTGGCAACTTCCTCCTCAGCTCTAGTCCATTGCTGCCCCATAGGAATGGAGGCCAAAGTGTTATCAGGTCTTCCACCATCAGTAAGTCAGATTTGTGCTCAAGTTCCATCTTCTACATGAAGCTTTCTTCCAGTGGCCCTGACCCCATTCTTTCCAGAAAGTTTCATATCTCTCACAGTTTCTAGCATAACACTTGGTGATACTTTGACTGAAAAATAGTTCTCTTCTCTAAGCCAGACATCAAGACAAATATGAAGTAAATCCATGTGCCCTGCAAGGCAGAGTGTATATTGAAAATTTTGACTTACCTGTTGCAAGGAAGGAATCACATGGTGAAAAATTTAAATATTTAAAAATAATTTAAATATTTAAAGCCATGGCAAGTGCTTTTTTATTTTTTTACTGTAACCCAAGTATCTTTAAAGAATTACATACCAACCACAGATCTTTTATGGAAAATGGAAAGGTATTAAATAACAAAGTGTTGTCATTTTAAATCAATTCAGAATTTGGATTATTGAGTTTTAAAAACTCAAAATTCTTTCAAGAAATTTGACTTAAGTTTCTCAAGTATTTACCTTTCTGCTAAGAATGAAAATGCACCCGAAGTTAATTTTAGAATAGAGTAATGGATTTCCTAGTACTTTCTACCCAACTATTGTCCTTTGAGAACTATTACAACCACCTTTGCATCAGCCTCTATGAAACTGAAACACAAGATGATGATATCCAATCTTCGAGTTGCACATTAATGAGCAAAAACGATCACAGAATAATAGAAAACCATTATAATATTCTAGATAATTCATGCCATAAGACCATGGCTGTTTCAACTACCTGATTACATCATCAAGATGCTGTCTGGTGTAAATCTCCATAGAATTTAGGATGGCCCTCCTATCTTCTATCCATGAGAAAAAGCCATTCATTTACCATCACCACATGGCCAAACATTTCTTCCTACTTTTGGTAAACACATACAGGTACCCACCAACACCCCTAACCAACCCCAGAACCAGCTCTAAGCCTTTTACCATCTCACCCACAAGCCTGCATGCCTGCCCTGTACTGGTCCACATGGACAAATAAGCCTTGCTAGACACACAGTAAAGGGATGCAAGGTGGTGTTTGCCAGGACGGTAAGCATGCCTCTTGGATTAGGGAGGCATTTGAGAAAAGGTGGGTTAGAGTGGGGGGAAAAAAGTGAACTCCATGAGCAAATCGAATGATCTCAATTATCATCCAGATAATTCTCTATTTCAATGTGAAGAGAGATAAAGGCTTGAAGTGTCTTCTAAGTTTCTCTGTGAAATGTTAGAGCTCAAGACCCAATTGAAAATGATTGTTTATATGATATCATGTGGTTAAAAAAAAATTAAATGATTGGGATATTCTTTCTAAATCCATCTTTTGAAAAAAACTTAGTAATTCTCAACTTGGTATTTGGGAGACTGTCACATTCAAGTATAAGATGTCTGGGAAAACCTGTGAATCTCTAATAATGTATTATTTTAATAGCGATGTGAAACTCAAGTTGAGAGAGAATTTCTGGCATCATCATCATCATCATCATCATCATCAACAGAAGACAACAACTTTGAGGAAGAACACTAAAGAGAAACCAGAAAAAAAAAGTACTTGAGACTATTGTATACAATTCAATTGTATCAGTTTAATTGTAACGGTGTGTTTAATTCTAGTCTAATCCATGAGGTCAGGATTATCTTTTACAATTCATCTTTAAAAAATCTTGAAGTGAATAAATCCCAGTAAGTCATCCTGAAGGGATCTGTCCAACCATAATTTTGGCTCTTATTGATAGAAAACATATTTTAAGATGGAAAAATAATCATTATGAAACATAGAGAGCTTTCAACCATTTCTTTGGAAACACATCTTGATAATAGCAACCGTTCATCATAATACAAAACAGAAAGGATTAATTTACTGCGGCATAAGAAGTCCTGCCAGTTCCTAAATGCCCTAAATAGTTTCTCTAAGATTTTTTACATTGTTTAGGCCTCAAGGAAAACCAAAGCCCCGCCTCCAGGTTTGGTAGCAAACAACCTCTGATTCTCCGGTGCTAGGTTTCGGTCGCTCCTCTGGTAATAAGCTTCATGCACATTTGCCAGGAAGCTGGGCAGCTTGTCTGCAGGTACCAGTGAGACTGTGCAGCCTCCCCATCCTGCGCCAGTAAGTCGTGACCCTTGAGCCCCAAATGTCCTAAAACAATGAGAGAAGGAAAATTAGACCCAGTGAATGAAAATGAGAGTGATTTGGCTGATGCTTATTGGACACACAGCCCACTCGTGTCCTAATGAGAGAGTATGTATGAGTGCTTTGTTTTGTGGGGTCTTCTCCAGTGTTGTCGAACATTTTAGTAAATTAGAAATTGTTTACTCTTACAGAAGGTGATTTAAAATTTAACTGTATCTGAAGCTAACCCCTGCTTTTGGCTCTAAGTAGTAAGTAGTTGCTATATAGCTTTTCGAGCAGTGATTTTATGGAATCTTCCCTGCTTCTTCCAGAACTGGTTTGACAACTGGACCTGGAATTTACCCTCAGATGAAATGTGTGATTGGAATAGAAACTACTATATAAAACACCACATAGCAAGACCTAACTGGAGTCACCCTCAGCCAGGCAGTTTCAAACCTAAGATCTATACCAGTGAAAAGCCCTACACAAAGTACAAGGAACCCTCATCTTTAGAGGATGCAATATATCTTCACGATAAAAATTAACATTACTTCCACTTCTTCCTAATAAAATTTACTTGACATTCACAGCAGATTAAAAACGCCATAAGTAGCCCTGGCTGGTGCGGCTCAGTGGATTGAGTGCTAACCTGTGAACCAAGAGGTCGTTGGTCCAGTTCCCAGTCAGGGCACATGCCTGGGTTGCAGGCCAGGTCCCCAGTAGGGGGCGCACCTGTAGAGCCAACCACACAGTGATGTTTCTCTCCCTCTCTTTCTTCCTCCCTTCCCCTCTAAAAATAAATAAAATCTTTACAAAAAACCAACAACAACTCCGTAAGTAATTTAGCACAGTTTTGTCCCTTTTTTTCCATCTAAATGAGCTACTTTACTTCCTGGAAAATATCAGTAGAATGTTACCCCTAATCTAGAACATCAGAATTATTGCACACCAGCAATTCATTTCCCCTCAATGATTTTGTCAATTAATTTTTTCATCATTTTTTTTTAATTAAAATATGCTTTTCAAATGAAAATAGATGTTTAAGAAAGAAAACAAAAGTGCCCGCAAATCAATAAAAATAACTCATCTCCTCCTGTCCCTCAGCCATTCACTCAGCTTATGGCCCAATTGCTGAACTGGGCCCACGCTCCTGAAAAGTTTCTCTGCTCCTGGGATTCTCAGATTACTCTGAGTTCTAAGGCTGGCAAAGGGCCAATTTGCAATTTGGTGATTAGGAATTTAAAAAAAAAAAAACTTTTCAGTCACATCAAACTATCTCTCCATGTGGAAAATGCTGAGAAGAACGGAGGTGCCAGTGAAGCATCCCTGGAAGACCACGGAGGCATCTGGAGAAGAACACTGTTCCCTCTCTTCCTTGGTTTTCTAAGACCCAAACTATGCCATTTTGCTGGACTCAAGTCAACCAGGTCTTTTATGGTCTTCAATTGACTTCTAGGTCTATTCTTTTGCACTTTTTCATTTGAACAGTTTTTGAAAGTGTTGTTTCTAACTTGCTGCAAACCCAAAGGAATCGTGCCAAGAGGGACTGTCTTCCTGAGTATCCCACCAGCTTCCAGAGAGCAGAAGTTAGAAGTCTTCCTGAGTGAACGCATTCACTTCTGAGTCTCTGAAGTGACTCTGTCAGCACCCTGCCTGCTGCAGATGAAAATGGACTAAATTGCATCAACTGCATGGTCTAAAATCATCAAGGCTCAAATTTCCCAAATAGAGAACGATAAGTGCTATTATAAATAGCCTCTGCCCTGAGCCCAAGGCACTTGCGATCATAAACCAGGGTCTGTCCCCACAGCTGGTCAGCAGCCTGCCCAGCTATCTGCACTCACTGGTCCTGCCTGCGGTGTTCCCCGCTGGTACTTAATATGCCCTTTGGCAGAGGCCACAGAAATCCTGAGAGAGATCCAAAAGTTAGGGGATCAATTTAGACTTTAAGTTAAGAAAGGAAAGCAAGTGAGCCAGGGATGTTCAGTGAATTTTCACATTTATATTTTTCCCCTGGGAGAACAGTAAGAAATTAAAAATACAGGTCCTGAGAGGCGATCATCAGAGGAGCAATACAAGAGTTATGAAAACCAAAACCCTAAAATCTTCCAAATGACACTTTGATGATTGTGGTGACTGCATTGGGAATAATGTGGAAGGGCTGGTCAAAGCAACAAAAGCAGCCTCTGCCTTAAAAAGCATGATTTACAAAACAAAGGCCAGGGCAGATGACAGACTGGAGATTCTAAAGAATGTTCCCTTTGATCCTTTTATCACTGAAAAGTATATTCTTATAACTTTACAGGCACTTGATAAAGCCTAAAAAATTTCCGATTTTTAAATGAACTGATTTGACCATAAAACACTTACTAACTAAGATACAACACAGAGGGCAATGGCGGGGTGGGAGTGGGAGATGCAAAAGACCCACTTTGCTACAAACTACAAAGAAGGAAAGCACGAAATTTTGCCTTGTATGTATTTCAATTCAATTTCATTTCAATATAAGTAAATATTTTTACATTATACACATGGGTATTAAATTAATTATTTCAGAAAATCTCAAATCTAGGGACAGCTTATATCTATCTCTCTAATCTCAGCCCAGCATAATTCCAGGCATTTGATAGGTTCTAAAAAATGGCTTCTGGATTGTTACATTTGTTTTAAAATATCAAAATACATACTCAGGCTTTTAAAGAAAACCTCAATTATATGTAATGAAGTATAAAAATAAAGGAAAAAGAGGGTACTTACCCAATTATAAAATATCTTTTAGAGGAACAAAATGTAAATTTTAAAGTAGAAATTAGTGAAGAACATAAATCAATTTTGAAACTAAGTCAGCTACCATCTTTTTGCCATGTATAATGCACACCCACGTTTTTTGCTTGAACTTTCAGAAAAAATAATCTTTCATTTCAATTTTTTATTTCAATTATTTATTTATTTATATTTAGAAACACAACCAATTATCGTATTCCAGGGTATTATTTTGTATATGGATATCGTTATTGCTTTCTAGAGTTACACTTTTACCACATAAGCATAAATAAAAAACTTTAAAACACTGATAGGTATGGAATTAGTACTACCTATGTATACTGTGCATCCTTATTTTTCCCTCAAAAATTTGGGCAAAAAAGGAACTTCCAGCCAAAATGGAGGCCTAGGTAGATATGCTTTGCTTCCTCACACAACCAAAAGAAGAACAACCAATTTAAAAACAAAAAACAACCAGAACTGCCAGAAAATAGAACTGTATGGAAGTCTGACAACCAAGGAGTTAAAGAAGAAACATTCATCCAAACTGGTAGGAGGGGCAGAGAGGACACACAGCAAGTCAGTGGTTGTCGGACTGGGCAGATGAGACAGTGGCTGGCGGACCAGGTAGTCCCACATTCTCCTGAAGAAACTGGGAGGAACACTGGGGAGTGAGACAGACCACACAACCCAGGGCCCCAATGGGGCAAAATAAAGCCTCAAAACCTCTGGCTGAAAAAACCTGTGGGGGTTGCACCATGGGAGAAACTCCCAGTCTCACAGGAGAGTCCACTGCAGGGGCCCACCGGGTCCTAGAACATAAATAATCCCACCCACCTAGGAATCAGCACCAGATGGGCCCAATTTACTTGTGGGTAGCAGGGGAAGTAACTGAAAGTAGAGCAACAGCTGAGCAAGCTGCATTGTTCCTCTCTGACCCCTCCCCCACATACAGCACTACAACGCAGTGAGGTGGGTTGCCCCACTGTGGTGAATACCTAAGGCTCCACTCCTTACAACATAACAGGTGTGCCAAGACAAAGAAACATGGCCCAAATGAAAGAACAGATCAAAACTCTAGAAAAAGAACTAAGCAACGAAGAGATAACCAACCTATCAGACACAGAGTTCAAAACACTGGTTATCAGGATGCTCACAGAAATGACTGATTATGGCCACAAAATAAAGGAAGATGTAAAGGCTATACAAAGTGAAATAAATAAAAATAAACAGGGAACCAACAGTGAAGGGAAGGAAACCAGGACTCCAATCAACGATATGCATCAGAAGGAAGAAATAAACATTCAACCAGAATATAATGAAGAAATAAGAATTCAAAAGGATGAGGAGAGGCTTAGGAACCGCTGGGACAACTTTGAACATTCCAACATCTGAATCATAGAGATGCCAGAAGGAGAAGAGGAAGAGCAAGAAATTGAAAGTTTATTTGAAAAAATAATGAAGGAAAGCTTCCCCAATCTGGTGAAGGAAATAGACATACAAGTCCAGGAAGCTCAGAGAATCCCAAAGAAGTTGGACCCAAGGAAGCACACACCAAGGCACATCATAATTAAATTACCCAAGATTAAAGATAAGGAGAGAATCTTAAAAGCAGCAAGAGAAAAGGAGACAGTTACCTACAAAGGAGTTCCCATAAGACTATCAGCTGATTTCTCAAAAGAAACCTTACAGGTAAGATGGGGCTGGAAAGACGTATTCAAAGTCATGAAAGACAAGGACCTATATCCAAGATTACTCTATCCAGCAAAGCTATCATTTAGAATGGAAGGGCAGATAAAGTGCTTTCCAGATAAGGTAAAGTTCAAGGAGTTCATCATCACTAAGCCCTTATTATATGAACTGTTAAAGCGACTTATCTAAGAAAAAGAAGAAGACCAAAAACTATGAACAGTAAAATGACAACAAACTCACACCTATCAACAACTGAACCTAAAAAAAAATAAAATAAACTAAGCAAACAACTAGATCAGGAACAGAATCATAGAAATGGAGATCAGAGGGTAGGGGTAGGGGGGAGAATGGGGGAAAAGGTACAGGGAATAAGTAACATAAATAGTAGGTACAAAATAGGGAGGGGGAGGTTAAGAATAATATAGGAAATGGAAAAGCCAAAGAATTTTTATGTACGACCCATGAACATGAACTAAAGAGGGCGATGCTGAAGGGAGGGTGGGTCCAGGGTGGAGAGGGATTAAGGGGAGAAAAAAATGGTACAACTGTAATAGCATAATCAATAAAATATATTTTAAAAAAATAAGAAAAATAAAAAATATTTTGGCAAAAACAGTGCACATTACACATGGCAAAATACAGTATACGTAAGATAATATATATATTAATATAATATAAATATAAGTAGTCAGTAAATATTCTTTACCTGGACAGACTTCTAGCTTCTGCTCTGAAGGCTAAAATTTTCTGACGAGAATCTCAGAAACCAGACCTTCCAGAACAATTTCTATTATTTTTACAGCCACATTAGAAACACTTTCAGACTGCTTTAGAACCACAGAGTTCCATGATTCAGAGATGCTGTTCAAATGAAAGAGTATAAGAAAATATGACTTCAAGTCTGTTTTAGAAACATAAGCCACTTAAGGGCATTGAAGATCAGTTGGTGTTGTTCTAGTATGTCATACAGGAATCTATCCGGAAAAAGTCCAGCCATTGTTAATATAACAAGAATAGTTTGCATGACATCAATGTAACCTGGCAGCCAAGGAGAGTGGACTGGAATGTGCTTGTGTGAACAATGACAGCTTCACTGTACTAGCCAGTGGGGGCAGTAGACACCCTTGAGTGAGCCTGTGTACTATGTGGCCATCATATTCAAAATGACTGAGCAAGTAGAGCAATGAGTCTGCATCAAATTTTGCATTAGGCTTGAATGTTCCTCTACACAAACTATTCAGATGACTCAAAAGACCACAGCTATGGGCAACCGGTGATTGGCAGCTTCATCATGACAACATGCCCACTCATGCATCGCGTCTCAAGCAGTTTTTTGGCAAAACACCAAATCACCCGAGTGACTCGGGGCCCCTACAGCCCAGATTTGGTGCCCTGTGACTTCTGCTTTTCCCAAAACTAAAATCACCTTTGAAAGGGAAGAGATTTCAGACTATCAATGAGAAGAAAATACAATGCGGCAGCTGATGGCAATTGGGAGGACTGTGTGAGGTCCCAAAGTGCCTACTTTGAAGGGGCCTGAGGCAGCATTGTCCTATGTACAATGTTTCTTGTATCTTGTATCTTCTTCAATAAATGTCTGTTTTTCATATTACATGGCTGGATAACTTCTGGATAGACGATATATATCTATATCTAGATATAGATATAGATATATATCGTCTATAGAGATATCTGGCAGGTAAGGGAACAGTAAGTGGAAAACAGCAGCCCAAATAGCAGTGAGCCCCAAGGGCAGCTGAAATGGCTCTTTCCCTTCTCCTTAGCAGTGTGTGCAGATTAGCACCTACGATCATCGGGAAACAAGCAGAGCAACGTGGGTGTGCACTGCATTCCTCTCCATTCGGATCCAGTCAGGAGAATGGGTGTGAGGGGCTGAGCAGCCCGGCCATGGAATAAAGTAGTGGAAATACTTCTGAGGAAGACAGGAAATTCACTTTTGTAACCTTTGTTGGTCTATTAACAGCTTGGGCAATAATGCAGCACTGAGTCCTCTCTTATTTCAACAAGTGTCAGAGCGGAAGTAAAGGCCTTCACTATTTTTTCTTAAGTAAAACCAGGGAAACCAATAACAAATGAGCTGTCTCACACACAATTGACTTGGTTTCAAAACTCTCTTGTGTTCTTCAGTAAATCTTACTTTAAAATTTAGTGATTTCTTAAAATATACATCTTCATTAAAAAAGAGTTATAATTGGGCAAGCTTCATCTTTTTCCTTCATTATTATACTTTGTTTCACATAATTGAGGTTTTCTAACATTAATTAAGTTAAAAAATAAATATACAGCCTCACTGCAGGAGTATAGTTTCCTTCTCCCTCCCTGGCCCTTTCTTTGGGTCCTCAGCTTACTTTCTCTTGAATAACAGTAAAAGGCTCCACTGAAAAACAGAAAGTACTGCTGATCTCTACCTTTTCTTCCTCTCCCGTAAGTTGGCTTCTATAAGTTCCTATAGGCTAACTACCTAGAGACACCTTTCCATGCAGCCTAGCTCCTATCACTTTAAGATTTTAGCTTGTAAGTAGTGTCCTGAGTATTGTAGGCATAAGAATTCTTCATTCACTTAATCAATTAGTTGTCTTTTCATGCAAATAGTTTCCAAGCAGGCCTTCAGGAAAAGTAAAGGAAGTTTAAAGTGCCACTGTGGACCAGGAAGGGAAATCTTAAGATTATCTTTGGCAATGCTCCCCAAACCCATTTCAGCTCCCCTCTTCTACTGACTGATTAGGTTAACTTGTTCAAAACACTTAACCTCTTAGTGCCACCTCAATCTTCTGCTCTCGGATCTGACGGAACTCTAAGATAATTCTGACCGAGAAACATGAAGTCCGACTTTCAAAAATGTGGCTTTTACAAAAACAAGAAAATGTTCTCAGGCCCAAAACCCAGGGGTCATCTTGATTCCTCTCTTTCACCCACACAGCAACTGTCCTGCATCTTCCTTCAGGGCGTTCTGCATAGGGCCCTTTAGCACTTCCATTCCCGTCTTTCTCCACTGCAAGCCAGAGGTCTTCCAATGGCCCGCCAGGCCCCTGGCGTACGGCTCCTACCACCCTCTTACTTCATCACCTACTACTCTCTCCTGCTTTTGCTGCCCTCCAACCACACTGGTCTTCCTGCTGTTCCTCACATGTGACAGCTACATACCCACCTCAGGACCTATCTCCTCGTTGTGCTATTTCTTCACTTCCTTCAGGTCTCTGTTCAAATACAATCTCGTCACAGAGACCTCCTTCAGCCACTCCATATAAAGATTTCCCACTTGACCCTGGTACCCTCTATACCTTCTACTTTTTTTTTTTTTCCATAACACTTACCACTACCACTTGACTTCTATTTAATTGTCATTTCCCTCTTTCCCTATGAAAGCCATAGCTGGTGGACCATCCCAGGAAGAAAAAGTTTCTTAGTAAATTGCAGGAAGCTAGCGAATGCCTTTCTACTGCTCTTCAGGTGGGACTCGAACTACCTGGCTACCTTCCCGGCAAAGATGCTTCTTCCTGATTATGCATAAATCATTCCACTTCCTCTTATGTACAGAAATGAACAATATTTGTTTCCTTCCATTTACTGGGCCCTTGATATTTTCTGAAAAGAGCACTTACAATGAAACAAGTTCTGGAAGGGTTTTTGGCAATGAGTTAGCAAACATTGACGACAACAGCATTGTCATCAATGCTGTGTTCAAGTCTCTTGACAAATTGGGTTACACATGCCATCTGTGATAATTGAAGCTACGTGGTTAAAACTCTTCAGGCTGAGAGTGTGGCAATGAGTGAGGCAAGCCATAGGCGCCAAGTGGTAAATTATATTTTCATTACTAATTGCAGACAATTCTCATTTTCATGTATGTATAATCTTCTCACAGTGGAAATAACATCTAGCCATTTGAGAGTTTGCCCAATTTCCCTTTCAGTTCTCCCAAGGTCACCGAGAGCCCTCCGGGGTAAAGGGACCCTTCTACTCTCTGACCCCGCCCCCAATCACTAGTGATCACGAGGGAGTTGTTCTCAGGCTTTGTGAAAGTTTCCCTCTTTATACTTCTGTCTCAACCAACCATTTATAAACTGGGCTCTCTTCAGTCCTTATTTCCTCAAATTGCCTAACAAACTGGAAAGGCAGGAAATGCTAGCTCTCTGAATTAATTCCTCCAGCCATGTCCCCCTACTCCCCTCCACTCCTAGCAGGCTTGAGGCTCTCTTTCGGTTTTCTCCCTTCTTTTGAATAAAACAACTAACCTTCAGACACCAAACAGGACATGCGAGCAGAGCCGCAGTGTGGTGGACAGCATTGGTCACAATATGAGAACGTAACAACAGGGTCCACGTCTGAGAAAAGTTCCCTGAACTGCCTGATCATCCAAAGATGGAAAAGTCTTCCTTACAATGTTGTGAAGAACTGACTCCAAACCTGGAGCCTCATACAGACATTTAGGAAGGAACAAGGTCAGCTCTATATCAGACAACTCCTCATATAGGAAGGATCTTCTTTCACTTAGAAGGTTATGAAAATGTTACATTTTTTCCATTAATTTAAATAATTCCTTTGGCAGCACTCCCCAACCCTGCCATGCTGCTATCTCAGCCTCACCGACAGGTGTCTACCAGCTGATCCAGCTCCGGGCAGCTGCACTCATACAGGTCCCGGCAGCTCACATGGCTCTGGTTCATGAGCTCCCCCAGCAGCTTGACTGTGTTTTCAGGTGCTTCTTCACAGACCCTTTTAAACTGGAGCACTCGCGCAGCCTCGCTGAACACATGCTTTGCCCGCTGGTACAGTTTGAAGATGAGCACTTAGGAAGAACAAGGATGGGGAACAAGGTTAGAAAGAGTTGCCAGACAACCCAGTGCAAAGAAAAGTAGTTATTAAGGTCTTCCATTTCTGTCTTCATTATCAATACCTTAGATTTTAAATGGGTCTCTCTTTCACTGAAAGAATTCTTTATAGTCTAAATTCATCTCTTTTTAAGTGCAGCTCTAACATTGTATGATTCTATGAAGAACCTACAAGCCTTCAACTATATTGTTCTGTCTTATAAAGAGGATGCTAACTGTGACTGTTACCTTTTGTTTGCAACCCCAGTTCTACTCCCTGCTCTTCCTAGGGAGTAGAACTCCCAGCCCGCTATCTGCCCCAGAAGGTTGACCTGTATGAAGTCCACCAAGGGGTTCCCTCACCATCTAGACTGGAGAAAGGAAGATCGGCAAGAGCCACCTGGAGAAAGCTCTGTGCCTCCTCAGAGGGGCAGCCTTTCCACACGACTCTCCTCCAGCCTTAGCCTCCAGTGGAGGCTTTTTTTTTTTTTTAAACTGTGATAAATACATTTATTTTCCCAAAGTCTCTCTGCCTATGCAGCCCTGCGTCCAGCAGGGGAGGTGCAAGGGGGTTGGCCAGAGAGCAGACGAGATGTGGGGGTGTTGGGGTCTCTGTTCTGCATGCCCTACCCCCCCAGGACTAGGGCCAGGGGTACAGGGAGTTCTCTCAGTAGACCACCTCATACACAGTGGCCTTCTTGTCCCCTGAGCCCGTCACTATGTACTTGTTATTCCCGGTTCCTCTTCCCTAAACATCACTGCTTTTTCAGAAGCATTTTTTCCATTCCACTGGTGAACCAATAGCTTCTATTAAAGTCCCAGGCCACCTTTTCCCCCTCCACAGTACTGTCTTCCTAACTCTTGATGGTGGATAAAAAGGCAGCAAAGGCTAGAGGAAATGAATAGCGATTCATAGAATTTGTGTAAAGGTTTAGTAATTATAAATGTGGGGCTAGATTTCCTATAAATTAATAAAGAATTAAAAGTTTCTTTCAAAGTTTCTCAACTGAGTCTTAGTAGATATATTAAACTTACAGTTGACTGTTTGCATCAATAAAATGACACAAATTCATGTGAATTGTCCAACTCTCTTTCAAAGAGGACCTAAATTCTGTCACCAGATCTAATTGTGTTTTTACAGTGTGTTTTGTAATCATCCCTCCCTTCTATTCCCACTGCCATTATCCCAATTTATACTTTTATTCCTGTTCCAATTAACTATTTTGCAGTGATTTCCCAACTGATATTCCTATCAATCTCTTCTCCCTGCAGCCTCCCTTGAGGTCAACACTGTCAGAGTAAGCTCCTAACGCACATCCTTACTCATGTTCCTACCCCAAACCTTTACTACCTCCCCAGTTTTTACCATAATCCAAATTCCTGCACTCATCATGCTCAGTTCCAATAGTCTTCCCTTCAGCCAAACTCACCTATACACAGTTACCCAAACACTCCTTGCTTCTGGGTATACTCACCAGTCCACATAAATAGTTTCTGGTCCTTTCTCTCCATGTCAAAATTTTACCTCTTTCTGAAGGTTCAGTTTAAATTTTATATGCCCCCTGAAGCCATGATGGACCAAAATGATAACAACCACTAGCACCGCAGGACACTTATTTGGGTGCTTATCATATAATTTCCACAGTAATTGTTCTTCCTCTCTGCAAAGTTTACCAACTGCTGAAGACAGAAACTTGGTCTTCTGGTATTTGCCACTACTACGCATGCCACTACTACAACCTTTCACCCCACAGCACCTTCGACAGTGGCTTACACAACAGGAGCTCTAATGGGTGTCTACTGTTGGTGATGATATGACGAGGAGTTGATTTTTAACCCAAGTTCAAAATCAACGTAGCTCCATATAGTCACTGTTATTTAAAAAAAATAAGGGTCAGTACTCAACAGCTTACTGGTGCTGAGAAAAGGCGACAGCAAGATTCTCTTTGATATTGAATCTGCAACTCCTGACACCAGTTATGGAGGAAAAATAAGAAAAAAGAGAATTTGCAAGTTAAATGCAGTTGGGAATAAAAACACAACACATTTTGCTCTCAGTAGCCAGGTGATGTGAACCAGCCCACACTGTAGTGTGAATTTATCTCCATCAACAAATTCAATGGAAGTGGAAATATTTAAGATCTGGGTATCAAAATATCCCAAGGTAAAAAAGTCTTATCAATACCCAATACTGGCATTTACCATTATCTGAAGAAAAAGCACAGATAGATTTAACAATAATCTCTCAAAATCTCTGAATACAGAAAGAAAAAGACCCCTTGATTGGCATGTAGGTGACTAAGACAGTGCCAATAATTTTATATATGTTAATATAATCCAGGTTGTAAGACATACATTTTAAAAGGAAGAAAAATAACTTTGGTGATTATACTTTAAGATTTTTCTTCTTTTCAAACGAAATTGAAAAGACTCACAGACACAGAGAGTAGACTGGTGGTTGCCAGAGAGGAGGGGATCGGGGGACTGGGTGAAAGAGGTGAATAGATTAAGAAATACAGGCTGTAGTTACGAAATAGTCATGGGATGCAAAGTACAAAAATGACACAAATTCATATCTAATTGTCCAATTTCAGAGGGAAAACACTCAATAACATTGTAATAACTATATATGGTGCCAGTTGGGTACTGGAACTATCAGGGGGGATCACTTTGTAAAGTATAGATTGTCTAACCAGTATACTGTACACTTGAAACCAATACAAAATTGTACTAAAAGTAGAAAAAGATTATTCTTTTAAATTGAGGTTTAAACAAGATGTTCAAAATACTAGCTGTGTTCATTGCAGCATTATTTACAATAGCCATCACATGGAAGCAACCTAGGTGTTAATCACTAGATGAGTGGATACAGAAGGAATGGATGTGTGTGCACACACACTGGAACGTTATTCAGCCATGAAAAAGAATGAAATTTTGCAATTTCCAACAATATGGATATACCTAGAGAGTATAATACTACATTAAATAAATCATGGAGAGACAAATACTGTATCATTTCACTTATATGTGGAATCTAAAAAACTAAACAAATGAACTAACAAAACAAACAAACTCATAGATACAGAAAAACTGATAGTTGCCAGAGGGCTGGAGTAGGGGGGTGATGAGTAAAAAGGTGAAGGGAATTAAGAGGTACAAACTTATAAATAAGTCATGGGGGTCTAAAGTACACCATAGAGAATATAGTCAATAACATCACAATAGCTTTGCACTGTGACAGATAAATACTGGACTTTTCATGGTGATCACTTTGTAAGGTATATAAATGTCAAATTTCACTATGTTCTACACCTGAAACTAATATAATATTGTGTGTCAGCTATAATTAAAAAGAGGTTGAGAGAAGAATCAAGATGGCGGAGGAGTAAGTGGAAGTCACACTGACCTACTCCCAGGACCAACCTGGAAGTACAACTAATTGTGGAGAAATCACCTGGAACAAACAACTGAACAATAGCGAGAGAGGAGCCTTGTAACCTTGGAGACAGAGGAATCTGCTTTAGCACAATCTAACTGGTAAGGAGTGCGGTAGAGACTGGAGAAGGCAGGTGGGGTGCCCACGAGTGGCAGCACCAGAAGGATATTGAAACGGCCAGTTGAATCCCCCTGAGAAGAGCGGGGTCTAAACCAAAAGCAGGGATCTCTAGCCTACGGCACCAAAGCCCAAAAAGTACACAGAAAACACCCAGCTGCAAAAAGTGGCAGGGTTGTTCTCTGCCAGAGACTGGTGGCTGGAGACGCAAAGAACCATTTAAAGGGCCAATGCATAAGTTTTTATTTGCAGCCACTTACCACGGTCTCTGGCAAAGGTGAGAGCAGAGTGGGTTAGAGACCTTGAGGAGAGACTGGGGAAGGAAGCTTTGGGGAGAGAACTGAGAGAGGAGCCAGTGGGATCTCGGTACTGACTCATCCCCCATGTGGCAGCAGCCATCTTGCTCAGGCAGGGAGCACTCCCCCTGAGTGGCACCACACCAGAGGACCCAATAGCCCCGCCCCAGGTGGGATTCCACCCCACCTTGTGCTGTCTAAGCTGCCTGCTGAGTGCAGAGTGGCAGCCACAGATAGTAGATCCTTTGCTAAAGGGGGCGCAGAGAGGTCTGGGGACACTTGAGGAGAGACTGGGGACAGAGGCTTTGGGGAGAGAATGAAGACAGTAGCCAGAGGGATCCCAGTGTGGACTCCTCCCCCATATGGCAGCAGCATGAGAGGATCCAACAACCCTGCCCCCAGGAGGGACTCCGCCCCACTCTCAGCTGTCTAAGGCGGCCTGCTGAGTGCAGAGTGACTAGATTAACAGCTGAAGGAGACAGCCACAGACAGTAGATTCCTGGAAGTCTCGAATAGACTGCCTAAAGTCAGACAGGGGCAACATCTGACATCATCAGAGGCACATCCAGAAAGTATAAACACCGGTCTCCTACCACAGAAGTTCACGCCACAAAGTCTGGAAATCAAGACAGATCAGTTTAAGAAGTAGAACTAAATAAGATAAGTCTCACAAATAATGGGAAGACAAGGAAATACCCCCGACTTGAGAGGAAAGGAGGAATCCCCAGAAAGAGAACTAAATGAAATAGAAGCAAGTAAACTATCAGATATGAGTTCAAAACAATGGTTCTAAGGCAGCTCGGTGAGTTCAGTGAGCTCAGAGAGAATTACAAAAAACTACAGGGTAACTACAGAGAACTTACTACAAACTATCTCAACATGAAAAAGGACATAGAAACTATCAATAAGAGACAAGAGGAAATGAAGAATACAGTTTCTGAATTGAAGAACACAGTAGAAGGAATCAAAAGCAGGCTAGATGAAGCTGAGGATCAAATTAGTGAGCTGGAGGACAAGGTAGAAAAAAAGCTCCCAGAAAGAACAAGAAACTGAAAAAAGACTCAAAAGGAATGAAGAGGCATTGAGGGAAATGCGGGACAACCTAAAATGTAATAATATCCGTGTAATA